GGTCGAAAGAGGTCATGTCGCATATCATTCGATTCGGCAGGCCTTTCTGAGTCCATTGGTGGCTTTTCCGACTCGCTAGCTCAATTTGATCAAGAGTTATTGACGAAAAACTAATATGACCTTGATGACGTCATAAATGACGTCACGAAAGGTCAACATTGCAAAAGTGACGCATCTAACCTTGCAAGGAGTGCATCAAATCACGATTCTGTGTGCTTGAGATAGTTGGAGATCGTTCCCGGCGCCAGAATAGCACTTTTCATTTTTCCCCATTGACTTATAATGGTGAGGTCACGAAAATGACCTGACCTCATATGACCTTTAGGAAAAATCCGAGATATACAAGTTGTGGGACTCATAATGGATACTAGATCCTGCAAGTTTCATTTCCCTGTGACATCTCCTCTGGCAGTGAGGGCGTTGCGAAGTTGCGACATCTGAAGACCGTGCAGAGGTTCACTTATGACGTCATAGGTCAGTGACCTGACCTGACCCAAAAATGCGGTTGGTGTCAAAAGATCCGGCTTGGATCAAAGGTCAGGTATGCCAAGTTTCAGCTCTCTATCGCCAGCGTGTTCGGAGCTATCGCGAAAAAACCCTATGGGGGGGGCGGCACCCGCCCCCCCTCGGCCGGCGAGGGTTAATTAATTAATTAACCCGCGCCCCGTTGGGCTCTGCCGAGCAGCGCACCCCGTTGGGGGGGCCATTTTGGCCCCCCCCCTAAGATCTCGAGAACCACGCAACCTAGCGACAAGCGGCAAACGGTGTTGGAACTTGGATAGCCCTATCAGGGAACTACCTTGTGACCCAATTTTATTGAACTAGGTCAAACCGATGACGTCACAGGTCAGGTCAAAGGTCCAATTTTCACCGTTTACAGGCATTTCAAGAAATACGTTGTAAAATCGAGTAAAATGCATTTCATTGAAAATCATCGATGGGGAAATGTTCTTCAAACACATTTTGCTATTTGAGGTCACTGATACCAGGTCAGGTCACAGAGGTCAGGTCACGGGGGGGTCACAATACGAAAGTGTCGTGTGATACATGTTTTATGGTCCATTTTACATGACAAATGCGATTATGTGGGTCAGGCAGCCTTTGGGGCCAGCTAAGGTCACGTTTTAGTCAAGGTCAGGTCAAGGTCAGGTCAAGGTCAGGTCAAATTAGGTCAAATTTCAAAGTTAATATTTTTGCATAAAATGGGTATCGAAACGATGCAGCTCGTCACGGGGGGTTCAATGGTGGTCTTTGTTTTGGCGTACGTGGTCTAGAATCGCTAAAAATTGAGTTCAAAAATTTGACGTCATCATTTTTGAACAGTTTTTTCGCTATAACTTGGCCAAAAAATGAGATATCGATCTGAAATTTGCTATGTATATAGAAGAGCGCAGGGACTATCACATATATTCCGTTTTTTTCGAAATTCGGAAAATTTTGGATATTTTAAAAGTTTTTCTAAAAAAATCAATTTTTAGAATTTTTGGAGGTCAAAAACCCAAAATTTTGAAAATCCGAGATAACAGTTTTGTAGCGCCACTTTTTGTCTACTAGACCATATAAAGAACTTTGAAATTGCTTGATAACTGTAGATTTGGTGAGCGTTTCAAGATTGCATGTTTTTTGCTCATTTTTGCTCGAACATGACCTCAGTTTGACCTCAATAACTCCTGACCTAAGGTGACCTGAGACTTGAAATTTGGTGTGAAGGTGTCAAATTGATGCCCGGGAAGGTACTGAAAATTTGGCGGCGCTGCGCGCCGCCGTTTTCTTGCTATTTAGGAAAAACCACAGGGGGGCCAAAATGCCCCCCCAACGGGGCGAGGGCATCACGGACGGCACGTATGCCACCCTCATCTTACACATTTGATTTTATTTGGCCCAATCGCTGTGGAATTTCTCAAACTCCCTGACTGGTCAGTGAGTTTGCAAACTCCCTAGTGAATTTGTAAACTCCCTAGTGAGTTTGCAAACTCACTGATGGGTCAGTGACTTTGCAAACTCCCTGTAACATATATATATATATATATATATATATATATATATATATATATATATATATATATATATATATATATATATATATAGGGTTACTTTTACAGGAAAAGTCGAGAGGGGGAATAAAGTTCGGGGCAAGGGCGGATCCAAGGGCATCTGAAAGGGGGCCATTAGGTTTCTGAATTTAGGTCATCTGAAAGGGGGGCCCAATGCCATTAGGTTTTTGTTAGGATGGCGCCTGCAGAACCTTACCTACCCCCAAATCCTACTCTCTCCCCAGGTTCTGGCCACTTTATATTGTTAGGTTGCCAAAAAAAAAATTAGCTAAAAAATATGCATAGGTACCTACCTAAATGTACATAGGTACCTACCTTGGCGGTAAGGGGCGAGGGAGGTCCCAACTTGACTGCGCCCTTGCAAATGTCAATCAGTAGTATCAACCTATTACCCTGGCCAAACATCAAGTAGCGCCTTTATAGATAGAGAGCGGTTAGCACGTGACTATTTTTGCTAGGCCAAGACCGATTGAAGGACCCTGGTTCGAAGGAAGACCCTTGGTTCGAAGAGGTCATGACCCCCGTCCCCCGCCGGTTTCTACGCCTGTAGCGATATGTCAGTGATTGCGAAGAGATGGAAGAGACAAGACAAGAGACGGTCCCACCGACCATCCGTTCGGTATCGGGTCAAATCTGGAGTTCCCGCTGCACTGAACGTAAAATGGTTGGATGGAACCTCAAATTGAAAATTATCTAAGCGCCAGCAACGTTGATTGATGACTAGAGTCTGATCAACGATGATTATAGAATCTGAGTAGCGAATTGATTGAAAATGGGCTCAAAAATAAATTTGAAAGGGGGAATTCCCCCTTCCCTCCCTAGCCGTTCACACACAATGTGAAAGGGGGGCGGAATTTTCGAAGGGGGAAATTCCCCCTTCCCCCTTTAAAAGTTACCCTATATATATATATATATATATATATATATATATATATATATATATATATAAAATTTTCGAATATATATATATATATATATATATATATATATATATATATAGTTTTTAAACATCTTAAACTTAAAAAACGGAATATATGTAATAGACCATCCATCGATGATCTACTCTAGAAAGTGTGAGTCCAATATCTCCAAAAATGTCCAAGTAATACGCGCTATAGTAAAAAGTTTAAAAAATATAAAATTTCAAATCTATTTTTCAGTACGTTTTTGACATTGCACAGCAATATAAATAGCACCATCGTATTCCTTAGCTCCAATTGCATCTGATAGGCACCTTTTTTGTTGAAAAATTACAATATCAAAATTTGACCTTTTTTTATTTGAGTGACCTGAGCTCAGGGAAATTCAGCTGAAAATGACCTCAAATGACACAGACGACATTATTTTCGAATTTTTTTAGTAAAATTGACCATAAAACATGCGTCACGTAGCCGATACATGATACAAAATTTTGTGACCTAGATTAGTTTTGTGACCTGGCCGACCTTAAAAATTCGAAGTACAAGTTCAGTACCCTCAGGGTATCTAAGGCATACATCAAGGAGTGCGGAAACCAAAAATGAGTCTGATCGGACTCTGTTAGCCGGTGGCCAGAGCCTAAATTGTGAACAAGCCAAAATGTTGATAATTTCTACTGTGACCTGACCAGTGAACTGTGACGTCATCGGTGACCTCGAGGTAAATGAAATTAGGTTTCGCTCGACAGTTTTCTAGGGCTATCAGACGCCGTTTGAATTTTGACGATCGGCCCAGTAGTTTCGGAGATGGTAGGGGGGGGGGGGCTCTGTGGAGCCCCCAGTCACTCGCGTTATGGAAAATAATACCCCAGTCATGAGCGGGCTAATGAGATGATTACGAGCGAGCGAGCGCAGCGAGCGAAGCGAAGTCTTTTCAATATAACGGAAAAATTTCATTATGAGCGGCCCGGCCCGGCCCGGCCTGTAACGCTTTTGAGAGGCTTATATCTCAGCAACCGCTGGACCGATTGGCCTGCGGTCTTTTTTGCTGGGTAGCCCCATCCCTTCTTCCCCGTAATTGACTACTTTTGATACATCTCAGTGACCGTCGTGGCACGTGCCACGTGAGAAGTCAAGGGTGTTCAAGCAGTTTTGCAAAAGTAATGATTTTGAGAGGCCCATATCTCAGCAGCGGCTTGAGCTTGGGTAGCTGCATCCCTTCTACCAAAGGTCGGATACCCTTGATCTATGTGAGTGACCCCCAATGCACGTGCAAAATACAAAAAGAAGAGGTGCCAAATTTGTTCCCATTTCAGTAACTCGGTAATTACTGGGGCGATTTCGCTGAAACTTGGCATACAGGTAGGCACCCACCAGGCAATGCATTCCCATGTGTTGCGGCTAGGGTGCTACTGCACATGCACACGTGCAGGGGGCGTTTCCAGATCTCGAGAACGGCTGGGCCGATTGCGCTGAAATTTGGTACACGGTTGGGGACCGGTTAGTAGGGTGCCGTGCAAAAGTCAGTTTGGACCCCGTTTGCACGTGCGCACGTGCAGAATGCCGCTTCCAGATCTCAGGAACGGCTGGGCCGATTGCGTTCAAATTTGGCACACCGCTAGCGACCGGTTAGAAGGGTGCTTTGCACAAGCCCGTTGGAAGTACCCTCTCGCCCTTCCGCACGTGCAGGGCTCACTATCTCGCTCGCTCGTTCTTCGCCCAAAAGGCGTTTTACTGGTTATTGCTAAATGCGTACCCAGTACCTACCACTGAAGATATACATAGATTATATAGTCGTCGTCACGGTTTCATCTATGTAGCGGTGTCTCCTTACTTCAGTATTTGACCGAACAGTCAGTCGATCATGACCGCAGTGATTACGTGCGTCGGCGCGCAGCGGTGCAAGAGGCGCCGGCCGAACTTTCCGCAGTGGTGCTAGAGCCGCCGACCGGCGGAACTTTCCGCAGCGGTGCCAGAGGCGCCGGCCGGCCGACATTTCCGTTAAGGACGCGGCTGGTTCGGAGCTAACCTTTCCGTTGAAGACGCGGCTGGTGTGGACGGTGGCCGTCATGTGGTCGCCGGCACACTGCAGCGTCACGTTGTAGCAGCTCTGGCGCTCGTAGCTGGTGGCGCCCGGTATCTCCAGGTAGGGCTCGCGCACGTGCGCCAGAGACGCCTGGCCGTGGTGGCTGAGCCGGCACACGCCCGCACCCGTGTCGCCATAGTCGAACGTGTGACAGCGGAAATTGGCGCCCAGGCAGAGCCGCTGGCAGTCGTCCCGACTGGCCACCTCCTGCCGGTGCAGCGCCAGCGCCGTCAGCAGGGTCAGCCGGTCTGACCCAGTCACCGGATGGGGACAATGAGTCGGCCGGGGGCCAGGTGTCGTCAGGGGCTCAGAGGGTCACGGCAGGCGAGACAACCGTCTGTCAGACCATTACAGAGGAGCGGACAGAGGGCAAGAGTTCTGAAAAGGATGGGTGTTGGACAGTCGCTTGGGGTCGTGGTAAATGATAAGCTATTAGCTAACCAATACAATGTACAACTACATACACACACAAAGGCGCTATTCTATGCGGTGGATAGTGCTGACGATAATAGCCATATCCTCCCATGGGGGCCTAATAAGATGAGTAGTTTCATACATTAGGGGACAATAAAACGGCAATGGACGCCCGTATACCTGGCCAACGGACGTAGACCTCCCCCGACCTGTACCTGGAACACGACGTCGACTGTCTTCAGGATTTTGTCCGGGATGGGCTGGAACTCGCAGATGCGCACCGGGTCGCTGACACAGTTGGACTCGTAGTAGTCGGCGCTGGGGTCAGCGACGAGCGAGTCGCCGGGGCCGGCCGAGAACCGGTCCAGCTCGCTCAGCGAGCACTCTCCGGAGGCGGCGCGGAAACTGGCCGACCTGCCGACAGCGGGCACCCGGCACCGTCAGAGGTCAGCGCCCACACAGCCACCGTCAGAGGTCAGCGCCCACACAGCCACCGTCAGAGGTCAGCGTCACCAGTGCAACATAAAAGCGAACTGCGCATATTTGCGCAAAATTTGCAGGAGCCGATATTCCTACCCAACTACCGCCCGCCCCGCCCCAGTATCGGCTCGGCCGCCGCGCCCGGCTTACGCTGTCTTGTGTGACCTGCACGCATCCATGTGTAACTGACTGGTCATTAATAAACAGATGCGCTTGAGTTTATGAATTTTGTGAAAAGCGCAGAATTTATTGTTTTATGTATGTATGTATGCATGTATGTATGTTATGTATGTATTGACATCAAAAGCCTTCTACATATTGCGTGGCGATTACGGCTTGCATTTAGAGAGTCTTGCTATTGGTAACCATCACTCGGCTGAAGAAAGTGGAAATAAGACGCTGCAACTACCTATAGGACCTGTCACTCGCGTCAGATGACCTTGGGCCGTCTTTTAACATTAGATCACAGTACGGGTATTTAACCCGCGCCCGGCTGGGGGTCCTGGATTTCCACGCCCTGCTGGGGGGGGGGGGGGGTGTTTGAACACCCCCCCCCCTTCTAACTCGGCTCCTGGGCCACGTAGCGATACGCGGAAGGCGGCGTTCGAAAGAGCGTCAAAAATAATGAGGAAATCACTTCGGTCAATTTTTTGGTCAGGTCAAAGGTCAGGTCACCAGAGGTCATTGAAGGCAAAATTTCGCCGATTTCCAGGTCGAATGTCGAAAATTTCCAAGAAGCCAACGCATAACTCGGGAACCAATAGAGCTACAGCGCCGCGGAAAAGCGCATTCGATAGCCCTATTAACGCCCTTTCTGAGTAATTTTCTCAGATTTGACCTAACGTCAACGGTTTTGCCTGCAGGGGGCAAAAACTGCAAAAATAGCCGATTTTTTTCGGAAAGTTTTTCTGCAATAACTTTTGACCCAAGCATTGTGCGAGCTTACTTTTACCGGCATCGTGTTCCTCTCGTCAAGACGCATCGAATGAACTATAACTTGACCTTGAAAGGTCAACTTGAAAATTTGACCTCAGGTCAAGGTCATGACCTGACCGGAAAGGGTCATGTTGCATATCAGTCGATCCGTATCGTCGAGCTGAACACATCTAAGGCGTTTTCATCGCTCTAGCATGCCTCTATCAAAAGTTATTTGCGAAAAACTGTTAGATACCATTCGTGACCTAAGATGACCTCAGGGCATAAACAGGGGTCACAGACACCATTTTCATGTTCAGTGTGTCTAAACCACTTGTAATTCAGTGTTTGGGAGTGTTTATAATGTCTTTCGTCCAAAAGAGGCGCATTTCAATTTTCTCCCATTGACTTATAATGGTGAGGTCGCAAAATTGACCTGACCTTGGGTCATCGATATCAAAATTCTGAGATATACATTTTGTACATGCTATTGCTCTTAGCAATCGCTGAAAGTTTCAAAGCGATCGGTCACTCGGTGTAGCTATGACAGACATTGAAACTTTTTATGAGGTGAGGTCACTTCGAGTGACCTGGTGACCTGACCTTGAATGACCTTGGTCTGAAATTTTCACAACATGTGTAGAATTGATGTATGATAAGGTGTACCAAAAACGGCGGCGCTCCGCGCCGCCGTTTTTGAGATATTCGCGAAAAAACACAAGGGGGGGTGTTCAAACATCCCCCCCAGCAGGGCGCGGGTTAACCCGCGCCCTGATGGGGTCTGCCGAGCAGCGCGGTCTGATGGGGGGGGGGCATTTTGACCCTCCCCCATAAGATCTCGAGAACCACGCAACATAGCGACAAGCGGCAAACGGCGTTGGATAGCCCCAACGGGGAACTACCTTGTGACCCAATTTCATTGACATCGGTCAAACCGATGACGTCACAGGTCAGGTCAAAGGTCGAATTTTCACCGTTTACAGGCATTTCAAGAAATGCGTTGTAAAATCGAGTAAAATGCATTTCATTGAAAATCATCGATGGGGAAATGTTTGTCAAACACATATTTTGCTATTTGAGGTCACTGATACCAGGTCAGGTCACAGAGGTCAGGTCACTGAGGGTCACAAATTAAAAATATCATGTGATGCATGTTTTATGGTCCATTTTATATGCCAAATGTGATTATGTGGGACAGGCAGCCCTTGGGGTCAGTTGAGATTATGTTTTGGTGAAGGTCAGGTCAAGGTCAGGTCAAATTGCAGCTCGTCACGGGGAGTTCAATTGTGGTCTCCGTTTTGCGCTACGTGGTCTAGAATTGCTAAAAATTGAGTTCAAAAATTTGACGTCATCAATTTTTAACAGGCTTTTCGCTATAACTTGGCCAAAAAAAGAGGTATCGATCTAAAATTTAGTATGTATATCGAAGAGCGCAGGGACTATCACATATATTTCGGTTTCTTCGAAATTCGAAAAAGTTTTGGAAATTTTTTGAGTTTTTCTAAAAACATCAATTTTTTATTTTTGGGGGTCAAAAACCCAAAATTTATAAATCCGAGATAGCAGTTTCGTAGCGCCGTCTTTTCTCTACACAACCACATAAAGAACTTTAAAATTGCTTGTTAACTGTAGAATTGGTGAGCGTTTCAAGAAGTCATGTTTTTTGCTCAATTTTACTCGAACATGACCTCAGTTTGACCTCAATAACTCCTGACCCGAGGTGACCTGTGACTTGAAATTTTGTGTGAAGGTGTCAGATTGATGCCCGGTAAGGTACCCAAAATTAAATTTGTCGGCGCTGCGCGCCGCCGTTCTCCCGCTATTTAAGAAAAACTACAGGGGGGCCAAAATGGCTCCCCCCCATCAGGGCGCGGGTTAACCCTGGCCGGACCGATTGGTTTTCTATATTGGCCGGGGAGGGTTGGTACAACTCCCTCGTCGTTTCGCCTCTAATTGAGCTAGAGCCTCGCGGAAAAAACGAGCGTGTGTGCCGTTATAAGACGCAACGATTACTAACCGATTTTAAAGTCTTAGGTCAACCAATGACCTCTTAGGTCAGGTAAGTGCCACAAGGCACGGGCTCGGTTTTCGGTCAATTACTTTGCCAAAAATGGTCGCATTGCCACGATTTTGGCATCATAGTGTTTGTCTAGCTCAGGCGCGTCGAATGCTATACTTGGTGTTCGGATAAAGTCAACTCAAGGTGTTGACCTCGGTCCAAGGTCAGGTCGGAGCCCCTCAGGTCACGAAAACGGTTGAAGGAGGTCATATCGCATATCATTCGATTCGGCAGGTTTTCCCGAGTCCACTGGTGGCTTTCCCGACTCTCTAGCTGCAGCTGATCAGGAGTTATCGACGAAAAACTTATATGGTCTTAGTGACGTCATAAATGGTGTCACGTAAAGTCAACAATGCTAGAGAAGCACCGGACCTTGCAAGGAGTGCATGAAACCATTCCCGGTGCACGAATAGGGTCTTCCAATTTCCCTTGTTGACTTATAGTGGTGCTAGATCCTGTATCATACTCAATTATGACGTCATCTCTTAATAACCCGCGCCGGGCTGGGGGTCCTGGATTTCCACGCCCTGCTGGGGGGGGGGGGGTGTTTGAACACCCCCCTTCTAACTCGGCTCCTGGGCCACGTAGCGATACGCAGAAGGCGGCGTTCGAAAGAGCGCCAAAAATAATGACGAAATCGCTTTGGTCACTTTTTTGGTCAGGTCAAAGGTCAGGTCACCAGAGGTCATTGAAGGCAAAATTTCGCCGAATTTCAGGTCGAATGTCGACAATTTCCAGGAAGCCAACGCATAACTCGGGAACCAATAGAGCTACAGCGCCGCGGAAAAGCGCATTCGATAGCCCTATTAACGCGTTTTCTGAGTAATTCTCTCAGATTTGACCTAACGTCAACGGTTTTGCCTGTAGGGGGCAAAAACTGCAAAAATAGCCGATTTTTTTCGGAAACAATTTTTCTGCAATAACTTTTGGCCCAAGTCTTGTACGAGCTTACTTTTACCGGCATCGTGTTCCTCTTGTCAAGACGCATCGAATGAACTGTAACTTGACCTTGAAAGGTCAACTTGAAAATTTGACCTCAGGTCCAGGTCATGACCTGACCGGAAAGGGTCATGTTGCATATCAGTCGATCCTTATCGCCGAGCTGAACACATCTAAGGCGTTTTCACCGCTCTAGCATGCCTCTATCAAAAGTTATTCGCGAAAAACTGTTAGACATTATTCGTGACCTGAGACAGTGGCGTAGCGAAGGGGGTCCCTATGGTCCCTAGGGACCCCCCTTGGGCCTTCCATGGGCCCCTATCCCCGAAGCTGACGGCAGGGCCCTTCGTAGTTTCAAAAGTTTCGGGATGGGCTGTTTCAAATCGGGGACCCCACATGAATGTGGGCTTTACCTACGTACCTACACCCTTGACTCTACCAATTATTAGGGCGGACTTCCCCCACTTTATTTTTGATGGGCCTCTTTTTTTGATTTGTGTTTAATATCTATTTCTTATAGTTTGGTTGAAGTTCGAGGGGCCCTCTTCAGAGCTAGTGAAGGGGCCCCTGATAGCTTGACGGGGGCCCTCTAAACTAAAGAAAGGCCCTCTTGCCACACTACAGGGTGATTTTTTTTTACAGGGCAAAAAGTTTTTAAGCCTAGAGGTACCAAAACATATAACAAACGCGATAAAAATATATCCACGTGAAAGAAAATTGTTTGTCATTTTGTTTTCAGGACATTTTAGAGACTTCTTGGGACTCATTCTGTCATGAAGTTCCCCAAAAATGGCACCCAAAAAAATGTCCTCCCCAGAATCGCCTTTTACTCCAGAGCAACACCGCTGGGTCGTGCTCGAGTATGGAGCCGTGAGAAACATCACCATACTTGGGCGAAACTTTCGCACCCGATTTGAGAAAACCCCACATAAGGTACCTTCCAGGAAGGTATTCCAGAAGTTTGTTGAGCGTGTTTGTTCCCCTACCCGAAAAAGACTGCTGGCCGAAAAGCCATCTCGGA